GAGAGAGAGAGAGGTGTCTTAATGTCTGGAGAGAAGAAAAAAGAGTGACATGATATGAAAAAATTACAAGATATACCCGTGTTTTAGTTGATAACTCGTACATAACCCTATTACATTATATATTCTATTTATGTCCCTAATTTACTACTGCACTTTCATCAATTTCCCTCAATCTGGAACGTAGATATTAATCATGCCCAACTTGATAACCATATCTTGTAGTCTATCGTGGGCATCTGCTTTGGTGAAGATATCTACTAGTTGATCTCTCGATTCAAATGAGGACTACAAATAATTCTACTTGTGAACTTTTTCCTTATAAAATGATAGTCCAGCTCAATATTCTTTGTTCTCTCATGAAATACATGGTTCTCAAAAATGTGGATGGTTTCCTTGTTACAATAAAGGATTATAGTTAACTGAAATTTAACTCCTAAATCATACAACAAGTAAACATCCTCAAAAAGACAAACTCCTAAATCGGCCAATATAGTTTTAACTTTTAACCCACATAACTTCACACACTCCATGTGCCATAGCCCCGGTATTCACCTTCAACACTTGATATGGCCACTGCATTTTGTTTTTTACTCGTCCATGAAACCAAATTACCTCGAAGAAAGGTACAATAACCTATAGTTGAGCTTCTATTAGTCTGAGAAGCACACCAATATGCATCAGTGTGGATTGCAACACCGATATGATTATGATTAGTAAATAACAAACCTCTCCTAGGAGATGATTTGGGATACTTTAGGATACAATAGACAATATCTAAATGAGGTTTTTGAGGGGCATGCATGAATTGACTAACTACACTAACCACATAAGACATATCTGGTTGCATAATTGTGAGGTATATAAACTTGGCCACTAACCTCGGATGTTGTCAAGAGTCCTCCCACCTGTGCATGAAGTCTATGATTGGGTTCATAGGGGTATCCGTTGGTTTGGCTCCCAATTGTTGTGAGAGGTCCAACACATACTTCCTCTAAGAAATGTCTATCCCTGCCTCTTCAATACTTAGAAAATATTTGAATGGATGCAAATCTTTTATCTTTACTTAGGTAGCATTTAAGATCTTCAATGTTTGCTAAGCTATCCCCCATCGCTACAGATTATCAATATATACTATAAGTTCTGTAATCCTGATGTAATATTTCTTCACAAACAAATTCTTATAAGCTTGACTCCTTCTAAACCATCTTTTAGTGAGGCTTCACTGAATATTTCAAACCAGGCTCTCAGTGATTAGTTAAGTCCATATATAGTCTTTTGCATGACCATGTACACTTCCTCATGAAGATATCCATGTAAAAAGGCATTTTTCACATCTAGCTGACGTCGGGATCAAGGTGTATTTGCAGCTAAGGAGAGAATGATTATGACAGAATTTAACTTTGTTACAAGGGCAAAAGTCTCTTTGTAATCTGTACCATGAGTTTGCGTAAAACATTTTGCAACCAAGCTTGCCTTGTCTCTTTCAATAGGGCCATCTGTCTTATATTTCACGGTAACCTCCCATTTGCAATCGACCACTTTCTCTCCTTCAGGAAGTTTGGTGAGTTCCCAAATATTGTTTTTTCAAGAGCTCCCACATTGCAACTTTCCATTGAGGTTGTGATAGAGCTTCTGCTACATGGGATGGAATGCTAACAATAGACACAAAAGATAGGAAAGCATGATAGGAAGGTCATACAACATTATAAGAAACAAAGTTGCCTATAGGATATTTTATTTGGAGAAGAGTTAACTATAATTGTATTAATGGTATCAATTCTCTGAAAGTTGCCTATAGGATCTTGAGTGCATGAACGCTTACCTTTGCATGATACAATAGGTAAGTCAAGTTTGACACTGGGGTTGAATTGGGAGGTTTTAATGAAATAGTTGGATGAGAAGGGTTTTCTTAGGTTAAGGTTAGTGCCTGGTTCCAAGTTGACACTTGAACCATAATCGTTCTGGACTTTAAGTAGTACCAGTTCCTTTACTCACAGTTGTCTTCATTTGCTTCTCCTTGGGTGCAACTAGGGCATTTTCATCTTCTGGACATTTCAGAAATGAAAGAAGTTGAAAAGATAGAGTTGATGGTGCTGGAATGCTCTTTTCCTGTCTACTGTTCTCCCCATGAAGAGGGCATTGTTGTCCAACAGATGAGGAATATTGAATGGATTCAAAGAAGGTAACATCATAAAGGCATAACAAACTTTATTATAGGACCACAACATTGAAACCTCTTTGATGAGTAGGATGCTTAAGAAGACACACTCAATGGCTTTGGGATCAAGTTTGTTTCTTTTATGATCTAGAACATGGGCAAAACACACTCTACCGAAAACTTTGGAAAGTATGAGAAATAAAAGGAAATTAGGAAAAGTGTTTGGATAGGAAACTTGCCTTCAGGAACCCTTAAAGGCATACAATTAATCAAGAATGCCACAGTAAGAACAACTTCGGATCGTAAGGTTTTTTGGACATTTATTCCAAGAATGAGAGATCGAGTATCTTCCAAGAAATGTTGTTTTTTTCTTCTCATCAACTGCATTTTACTGTGGATTGTTAGGAGTGACATGTCTAAAACTCTATATCTTGATCCTTCAGATAATCTTTACGATCATTAGAGACATATTCATCTCCATTGTCAGTATGAAGTACTTTGATATTTGCATTGTCCTGTGTTTTGACCATTTTATGTTTCGTTAGATAAAGTGTAGTTAATCCCTGCACATTAGAATGTATATTAGAGAAGGGAGTGTTACTCCTTTTATTATCACTAATAGGAAATGAAGTTCTAGTGTTTTGATAAATTGACAAATCTCACATTGTAATTGAACTTGACCCAATGATGCAGAAGTCTTAGCAAACAAAAAAATGCAACATGGAAAGAGAAGCATGACCAAAATGAGTGTGCCACAATTACACCTATTCTTTATTAGCAATCAAGACATGGTAGTGGTTTGATTTTTTGTAGGAGCTTGTTTCGGTGTCTCTAGATCCATCCTTACGAACGTGCCCAAATGTCTTCCCCGTTACCAAGTTCTGAACGACACACTAAGATGGGTAAAAGTTCACACAACAATTCAATTTTTTTTTAAGATTACTAACAAATAAAAGATTATCAGTCAGTTTGGGACATGCAAAGTGGGCAATAAATATATGGAGGAAGTTACTGGAACAACCTTTAATTGGTACAAGGGATCCATGGGCAATCTCAACAGACTCTTGGTTGTAATACATCGTGTAACTAGAAAAGAGATCGGACATTAACAAGCATATGTTCAATGGCTCTTGAATCAATGATCCAAGGAGCTTGAGACATGGAAACATGGTGTGTAAATGCAGATATACCTGATTGAGGGAGATGTGACTTAGATGAAGAAGAGGGTTTATCATGAGTGCCAGCACACTACTTAAAGTTAAGAAGCTCTTGCTTGGAACAGTCACCAATATCCTTGAGAAGACATATGGTCACGAAGTAGATGACCAATAGCATCTTGTTTTCGAGACACGGTAAGACTAGACTCCTTGTCAAAGTTGCATAAGCCATAGTTTTATTTTGCTTAGGGTGTCCATTGAGATCCTAACATGTTTTCTTAGTGTGTCAGGATTTTCCACAATGGGTACATCTCAGCTTATCCTTTTCATTAGGTGTGAGGCTCCTACGACTACCACTATGACCTGCCCTTGGCCACCACTACGGTCACCATCACGATTGTTAAAAGAATTGGAAACTAGTGTGGATCTTTCATATTCACCAATAGACACATCCATAACTTTCGGCGAGTTTCTTCACGTTGTAGAAGAGAAAATATTGTGCTAGGTGATGGTAAAGTCCTGCCACCCAGAACATTAGATCTGATATTCTCATATTCAGGATTAAGACCTCCTAAAATATCAAAGATTTTCTACTGTTCCACTCTTTTCCTATGCTCTTTTGTAGTGTTTCAGTTCATCCCCAAAACCCCTAGAGCCACATAATAGTCATGATAGAGAAATGTTTTTGTTTGAAATTGCTGATTTGCTGCACCAACTCATAGAATTTTGCAATATTCTTCTTTTGTGAGCAGGCTTCATCCACTGCATTTGATAACTCCTTTGAAGTATCACAATTCATAAATGTGCAACTCAAGTTTGGTTGCATAGTAGAAGTTAAAATCCAGTTTTTAACAATCATTTGATGGGCCTCTCAAACAACACAAGATGGCCCCTTTCCATTTGGTTTGACTACAAGGCAATCAACATAAGCAAACTTTTTTCTATCGAGGTCATAGGGCATAAGCCAGTCGATGATATTATGGTGACTGCAAGTTTCAGATGTAAAGTGGCTGTAAAGCTATTCAATACACATCAAACAACTGCATAAAAAGTTTGGACGTAAAGTAGCTCCAAGTTTCACCATTTGATACACACCAAATATTTGTTAGTCCCCAAAAAATAAAATTGAATAGGTCTATTTCATATTTCTCATAAGAAAGAACAAATTTGTGCAACTTGGTTAATCATCAGATCATCCATCGATGGATCACAAAATTTGGGGAACAAACACTAAATTAGGGTTTTAGGAACAAACACTAAAAAGAATTGGCACCACTACCGAAAAAACTGATCAGATTAGGAATAAACCCTAGAAAAATGGCACATCTCTTAAGTTAACATTTCTCGAAAAATGGCACGTCTCTTCAAAAAACTGTATGCATGAATATTCATACTATGAACTTCAAAAACAAGATCTGTTTGGGTTTCTTCTTGCCATACATTCTTGTTCTGTCTGGCTGTATTTGCTTAAACCAGCAGTTATATGGTCAGAGTTTCTCCACCTGACTCTCCCTTCTTCGGATCTGAACCTTGCCATGATACCAATTTGAAAATATAACCTAGACCTAGGTCAAATCAGCAAGAACTAGATGAGTATATGAGAGAGGAAAAAGAAGATTTGAGGAAGAAGAGGTAGGAAGAGGTGCATTATGCATGACGAGAAGAAAGAGATTGACGTGACCCTTAGAGGTTCAATCCCACGCACACAACACATGTATATATAGATGTATGGAAAAATTTCAAGATGCCCTTGTTTAAGCAAAAAATTATACATAAGCCTATTAATAGTACATTCCATTTATGTCCTTAACGTACTACTACACTTTCAACAAAAGCATGTTATTCTATTCATATTCTTGTTCCATCCCTGGTGTTATGCATATCACCACTCTTGGATTGTTTGATACCTTTCTTCCTATTAGTGCTCATGGTTTAGTTTATCCTTATGTTTTGGTTAGTTGTTCGTCCCCTGTTTTTGTTTATGGGACTGTTTTGCTCTAAATCATAGTTCTGTGTCACATAATTTGATAATGTCTTTTCATATAGTATCCACTTCATATATCCTAGTTCTCTTTTTTCTTTGGGGTTGTGATGGAGTGGGGAGATTTAACTCAGTCACATGTGGGAGTTCATGATAGATCCAATTTAGCTTCTCATTTATCAAAATAACACTGAATCATGCTGGATATACGGGCTATTGGGTAATTTGCCTCCGTCTTCTTATTTTTATTGAACATTTACTTGAGCATCAGAATGCTGGTAGAGAGTGGGTGATCATCACAGGTGGGCCTCTGATGTTTAATTAACTACTTGACGAGGACCAAGTTTATTGGTCATTCTTTTCAGTTTTATGGTCCAGTGATTTAAAAGGCGTTTGGAGCTGGAAAAGTTTACCCAAGTCAACTGGACTCAGTCAGTGGGCGAGTTATTTGAATGAAGAACATGGGATGTAGCCAAGCCTTACCTTACGCATAATTTTCTATGTTGATTTGCCCGATATGTGGTCGCTTTTAATATGGTATCATTATGCTATGATTTAGGTGACACGCTAGGTTTCTCATTAAATGTATTTTTTAAAAGGTTCTCCATGAAAATGTGAAAAATCGGCGAGCTTTTTTGAGTTTGACTTGGCAAGTTGACTCAGTTTTGGCAATGACTGAGTAGGCCACTGAGATTGAAATTTATAGTGTTGTCTGTTACGGATTCATGTAACTTACAACTATAGTCTCTGTGAAGTGCCTCTTTTTTTCTGTGATAACTAAGTCTCTGTATTTTAATCCCTCTAATTGTTTTATATTAACCTTCTAACTTGCTTACTAGTGTTTTTTGAGTAAGAACTTTCAAATCTTACGTTTATCTTATCCTTCATAACCCCTGACAATGCTTTTGCTCAAATTGCTCAAACAACAAAACAATGTGATTGTTTATTGCAGTAGGGGTGCACTTACCATAGGTCTTCCTCCTGCTTGGGTGGATATATCAGAAGAAATAGCTGCAAATATGCAGCGGGCACGGACAAAAATGGCGGAGTTAGTCAAGGCTCATGCAAAGGCTTTGATGCCATCTTTTGGAGACAGTAAAGAGGATCATCATACCATAGAGGCTCTCACTCAAGAGATAACAAATTTGTTGAAAAGATCTGAGAAGAGATTACAAAAGCTTTCTGCATCTGGGCCTTCTGAGGATTCAAATGTTAGAAAAAATGTCCAGGTTTGTGGCTACTGAACTCCTCATTATAATTCTTATTATTGGGATTTGCTGTGAAAACCCCAAAAATCTCTGGAAAGCACCCAATGTTACAGCTCACGAGTCATGTGCCTGGTCAAAACTGAACTGACTCCCTCTTCAATATGTTTGAGTTTACTGGGCTGGGTGACTGGCAAACTGTAAAGTTGGGTGTTTATAAACTTGGGTTTTTACTTTTTGCAACAGTCCCCTTATTATTACCCTTTGCTATTAGACAGAGGGGTTTCTTCCTATTTCCTGAAAATAGGGAGTTTTCATACTTCACGGCATCCATCCAGAAACAGCATGGGGCTATAGGACTTCATGCCACATTTAGGAGCCTTTGTCATTTAAGGGGCTCTGTGTGCCTTTCTATTTAAGCTTTGTTAACAATGATGGAATAGAATGGCATTTGGCATCTTTGATCTGATTGAAGGGAAAACCAATTTTTGTTTTCTTTTTCACCTTCGATGTTTTTATCTGATTTCTGGGTCAAAACTTGGCTGATAAGCTTTGTATTACTTGTGTTTAGCTCTAAACCTGAAATTTAATGTTAAGAATCACTTTCTGACTTGGTAATTTCGATATTTGGTGATTTTCCCCTCTACAGCGGTCTCTTGCAACTGACCTACAAAATCTGTCGATGGAGTTTCGGAAGAAGCAATCCTCATACTTAAAGCGCCTACAGCAGCAAAAAGATGTCTGTTTTATTTTACTGATATTAATCTGATCTACTCGTTGCTTACCGGCATTCTACCTCATGAAAGTCTGAGAAGATGTTAAGAAATTCGTCTTATATGAAGATAATCAATGCTTTGTGGCTTGATCTTCTTGGATTTCTATTATTTTCATCTTTTTTACTCTTTCTTATGGTTCATTATTTCTGGTTTAGGGTCCAGATGGGGTTGACTTAGAGATGAATTTGAATGGTGGTAAATCTAGAGTGGATGACGATGACCTTAGTGATTTGGTATGTATGCTCTTCATATTTCTTGGTGATGTTTTAAACTCACTGTAGCCTCAATATGAGAAATTAATTAATTTTTTTTATACACGGTCCCAATTTTGGTCGAAAAACTAAATATGGGTCTGAATCTTAATAAAAAGATGCCAGGCGAGGATTACAAGTAAAATAATTACTTTGGTGAGGGGATCTTCTTTTGAGGCACAAAATGGTGAAATTTCCTAGTTTAGTTTCATGCATTTCTTCCTTGGGTCGCGTAGGGGAGTTCCTTGCTTATGTGTGTTTTTGGGTTGAAATTATTGAAAGTACTACCATCCATAACCCTTTCAAATGACTGCCCTATTTGCATTTCACATCTCTTGTTTCACTGGCTCCTGTGCATTATCAAAAGAAGTAGATAATCCTGTTTTGTTATTTCATGAATTGGTCTGAGCTGACTTTTGTGCTATGGGTTATTTCTATTCAGGGATTCAATGAATTTCAGCTGTCCAAGCTGAAGAAAAGTGAGGCATTCACCGCTGAAAGAGAGAGAGAAATCACCCAAGTAAAACATTCTATATCAACGGTCTTCCTCTCCATCATTCAAGACTTGTTTTAAGACACATATATTAAACTCTTACATGTTTCAGGTTGTGGAGTCTGTGAATGAGCTTGCTCAAATCATGAAGGATCTCTCTGTCCTGGTGATTGACCAGGCAAGCGATCTTTTCTGCTTTTTTGTTTTTTGGCTCTCTATGAATCTCATATTAGTTCTAGTAGTCAAGTTGGAAGAAAGGAATATCAGTGTGTTTCTCTTTGCAGGGGACCATTATTGACAGGATTGATTACAACATTCAGAATGTTGCATCTTCAGTCGAAGAGGGTTTCAAGCAATTGCAGAAGGTTCACTTATGAATCTCATTTTCGTGAATTTTAGGGTGTCATAGTTGGAAGATTTCCAAAATTTTCCTATGTCTTGTGAATTTCTCGGGCAATTTGGTGAAACTATAAGCAAGTAAAAGTTTTAATAAGAAAGAAAATGTGAAAAAAGAAGGAGAAACCTTTCTTTATACTTTTCTTTTTTTAAGTGTAATCCCATTTTTATTTTTCTTCCAACTTTTTAATTTGCAGTTTTTTTTTTGTTCTTCTTTTTGTGATGGTAAGTTTTAATAGTTTAGAAATGGTTGTCCTAGTTGTCCTTATGAATTTGTATTAAACTAAAAACAAAGGGAAAATGTTTTACTAGTTTAGAAATCGTTGTCCTTGTGATTTTGTATTGAACTAAAAAAAGGGATACCTCTTATGTTATTACAGAAATATCAGTTTCTAATAATCTTGTGATATATTTGAAAAACAAGAATTTGGATGCAGTTCCTAATTGTCAACATGGTTTTTTTAACTATGGCTTTACCAAGCCATTTTCTGCTTTTTCCTGAGCTCTTTCTCGAGATTCTTAGAACTGGATTCGGGTTTCTAATTGCAGGCTGAGAGAACTCAGAGAAAAGGTGGCATGGTGATGTGCGCAACAGTGCTCATTTTCATGTGCTTGTTCATGTTGGTATTGTTAATCATCAAGGAGATATTCTTGTGATCCGTTGTATCAAATGTGTGAGCACTTTAACGTGGAATCCCAAACCAAGTCCTAGGGCCTTTTGCTCAAGCTGGTGGCCATTTTCGTGTGCATACCATTTAGCATTGGAAGGAGAATTGCCGTTGCTATTTAGCATGATTGAGCAAGGATCTCCGCCCCGAGGGAACATGTCTTGGATCTTTTGGCTAGGGACTCCATGGAGATTTAGTGATGCAATTGAGGGGTGAGGAATCTATCAAAGGAAAAAAGAAAAAAAAATCTGAAGAGAGGAAAAAGAAAAAAAAAACGAAGAAACAGAATTTGAGGTATGATTATGTAGCAAACTTTTGCAATTTTGAAGGTGGGTGTCCATGGAAGGAGGTGTTTCGGTTGTATCCATTCTTTCTGCAACTTTTGTGGAATAAAATGCATGCCCTTTATACCTAAATATCTCGCCTCCTGTCGGTTTTGTCTTACGACAATTGCGTCATACTTATCTTTGTCTTTTTTTTTTTTTTTGAATGTTCACTTGTGAACTTGGTGGCAATGTAGTCCAGGACCTCTTTGTGGGTCACTTGGAGGTAGTACCACCATAACCTTCAGCTTAGTCCCACGGCTTTTATTTGGTATTGATCTAAGATGCATCATGTGTTCGAGAAATAGTGCATTTCTTTTATTTTTAAGTTGAAGGGTATATATAGTAAGTAGGATTGGAACCTGCGACATGGCATTCCGGCTCTGCCACCCTGACCACCCAGACGCCTTGGGCCCATTCCTAATTGAGTGCACATTGTTCAACTGAAAAAATGCCCGGACTTTGATGGTTCAGGGATTAAATTCCTGCGGATTATGTTAATCTCACTTGATGGCACCTATTAGTTTTTTATTTTCCTTTACAAGACGCACAGAGAGAGAGAGGGCTTCATTTTGTAATCGTTGATCGGAAGGGTAAAGGGGTGAAGATGTGTTGTGAGAGACACAGAGTGCTTCATTTTGATTGTTGATCTTCGGGGTAAGTGTTAAGATCTGATGTGAGAGAGAGAGAGAGAGAGAGAGAGAGAGGTCAACATCACTGCTCGAAACTCCTACTCTGCTAGCAAAAATAGAGCAGAGATTCCTCTGAAAAGAATTTCAAGCATTAGTTACAACAATAAATTAGTCCAAGAGCAAGCATGATGGGGCTTGCAAATATATATAATTCAATCAAAATTAGGGGGGGGGCATCATTCTGGAATATCTGAAGCTTTGAAAGATCTTTCTAAAAGACCTGAGACTGGAAGTTTCAGATCAAATGTCATTCTCTGCAAAACCAGAGACAATGTGTTCACATCTGACATGGCTCTGTGAGCTGAACCTGATAATGGAATTCCATAATACTCTCTAAGTGCCCCCAATGACGAAGAAGCAAGTTTTGATCCTATGGAGACAGAACAGAAAAATCTCATCAATTCTTGGCATGCACAATCCATAACAAAAGAAATACCGGTCATGCCAGATAAGAAGCTGAAGTTGATGGAGATGAACCCTAAAGCGAAATAAGTGAGTCTTAGTTTTAAAAGTACTTAAGTACAATCGGGAAAGGAATGATAAACTTTCAATGAAAAAGTATGAAAAATATAATTAATTTCATATAATAATTTATTAATTTACCAGGTGAATGTAACCTTGTATTTGTCAATGTATGACGCACCGTTGTTCAAACATAAGCAAAATATAAGGTGAAGTTAAGTTGAGAAGGGTAAATGGTCTCCAAACTCTTGCTAAATACGGCTGATATAAGTTAATCAATGTCATTGGAAAAAAAAAAACGAAACGGTAAAACATAATGATACCGGTCATTTTACATGACATAAATGGCTAATATATCAAAAATATTTCCTATGATTGCGGATATTCTTTACTTATATTTATATATGTCCTAACAAACATAAGTATTTCTATTCTCTCTCCAGATATGAGCAGAATATTTTCTAAGCATCTTTAAAGATAGAAAATCTGTAGCCATGCAAGGGACAGGTAAAAAGTATTATATTCCTAAAGGCACTCATAAATTATAAAATACCTAAGTAAGTTCTTAAGGGTGCCATTCTTTACAAAATTTTAGAAGCTTGGAGTGTTCCGTAAGCAGTCAATGTGAAACATGGGCTCTTGGAAAAGTTTACAAGACATGGTACACGCACACTGAGTAACGTGGCGAAAGTGCAATAAATCTAAATAAACATGTTCAAAAGTTTCTATATCCAATGCTTGTTATGAAAGGAGAGATTCAAAAGATAACTAAAAAAATAGAAGTTAAGACAAGCCTGTGGAAAAAATCAAGAAAGAAAACCATGCATAGGGTACAGAAACACAATTTCAATTGAATATCCCAACGAAAACCAACCATCTGGCTTCACTATTTGGCGGGCAAGAGGAAGTGTGTCTAAGAAAAGCCAATCTGAAGGAATCTCCACGAAACAGCGGCTGAATTCCTTGATGATAAAGGGCACATCAAAACGACGACCATTATGAGCAATCCACAAAACTGGTGTTCCATCTTGCTGGCGACTTCTTACATATTGGAGCAACATGGGAACTAAGTCCCTCCACCTACACAAAACACAACCACAAAGAATGATTTTTTAATTCGAGCAAGATATTGAACCTGATTTAGATGACTTAGTATGTGTGGAACACTGGCTAGAGATGATAGAACATGAATTATAATGGCTTGCAAGTTGCAACATGTGCCCTTCACCAATTAAAGGTATGAGCTAAGTCTTAAAGCAACAGTTTATCAAGTTTTAGTTTGCAGAATGATTCCTCAATGACAAATCCATAAGTAATGGAATGCTGAAACTAAACCCGAGCATTTGTCTCACAAATATCATTCCAACCAAATAAATGCAATTCTATGTTGGCTCCATCCCAAAAAATTAATTAGAAATTTTATTAAGAAAATGTTCAGAGACGACTAAACTGAAAATAAAAGTATTCAATAAGAGTAGAGGTGATCCGTTAAGTTTTGATTCATAAGAGGAAGGTCACAATGAATTCCTGATTGTTAGTTAGAACTCCAATCGCACAAATGGTTGATTCTGCCAAGGTATGCCTGCTATGAGTTTCATTGTCTTGTCTTGTCTTCTAAGTGAAAAATATGCATCCAATAATACAATGTTGAACCCAAAAAAACAAAAAAAAAGCAATAAACAAAACGGCCCATTTACTTGGTGAGTTTCTTGATCATATAGATGATTAATTGATTATCTCACCCTATATACTGATTATGGCGGGTGTATGTGCATATAGCAAAAATTAAAGGGGAGCTTCATAGAGGCATATAGGAAAGTTAAATGAAGAGTGGATAAAGGGGAGATGAGAGAGAGAGGGGATGGGTTGAGATTTTAGGACGTGGTGGAATAATGAGAAGAAGAGGGATGTAGGAGAGATTTCAGGAGAGGATGTATCCTTCCTAACAGAGTCTCTCACACATCTCCCTCCCTCCTCTAACTACTCTGTCTCTCATTTAAACATTAATCCATAAAAATAACTAACACTCCTTAGTCTCTCACAATCCCCCCCAAAATTGGCACAATTTTTGCCCTGATTCATTTTCAACAGGTGTGTACCACATGCTAAAACAGTCAGTTTACAAGCAACAAGTAAACCTCTCAAGGTGTATCCATGAAGATGGAAATTGTAGAAATGTGACTGCAGACAAGGCAGAGTTGGAGTGCTTAGTAAGTGCTACTGATGATGAATGCTTCAATGTGATATGTTCCTCCCCTCTTCTCATTTCTTTTGTTGACTTTTTGTGTGTATCTATGTTTATACCTAATATTATTTGTGTGTATCTATGTTTATATCTAATATTATTTGTGTATCTATGTTTATACCTAATATTATTTGTGTGTATCTATGTTTATACCTAATATTATGTGTGTATGTATGAATACATAAATGTGGGACAATGTTTTATAGTTTTTTGGAGGAAGCTCATATTGTATACCTATTGCAACATTGTCTGTTTTGGAGGATATAGCTCAAATGGCATGGGGGACAAGGATAGACAATCATGTTACCCTTTAGGGGAAGGTAAGTTAGCATATATTTTTCCTGTTTGTTGTTTTTAGATTTCTCTTGCTTAAAAGCTGAAAAGCAACTTGTCTTCTTAAGGCAAAGCAGGGAAGTCTTCTTAGGTTGGAAGGCTCAAGAGAAAAACATTAATCCATAAAGATAACTAACACTTGTTATTCAAAAGTCTCGCTCTCCAACCCCCCAAAATTGGAACAATTTTTGCCCTGATTCATTTTCAACAGCTGTGTACCACATGCTAACCGTCAGTTTACAAGCAACAAGTAAAATATACAAGCATATTACCTTGGAATTCCTGGCCTATTGACCATATGATTACTGATACCATGAATTTCTGCATTTGGCACATAGCGTTCAGGATTCACCAGGGTCTGAAATGTGCTATTTTTGCCCCCGCCAAGATCCTGAAGTGCAAACTCAATTATTCTATGAGTATTCTTGCTGAAACCCGTAGTTTCAATATCAAAAACAAAGATTGTCGCAAGCCGTAGTGAATCTTTCTTCTCAACATGTTTCTTTTGAATATCATAATATTGATATGCTTTTAACTCATCCACATGTTTTTTAGTCACACCTATGTTTGTGGTTCTTGTATACTTTCCATCGAGGAGTTCCAACCTTATATCGCAAGATTTTTCACTCTGTGATTGTGGTTGGTTTCCTTCTACTTTTGCTCCTATAGAATGAAGCTTGCATCTCCCTGTACTGAGTGTTCTCCCCACTGAACTACAGGTACTGTACTTTAACAGTTGAAAGCTGCAAGTGATTCCAAGGGAAGTCCTTAAGTGATGGAGGTTTTCTGACCAAACACCTACTAATGGCATTGTTTGCAGCAAAAGTTTTGCTTTCTGTACAAACGGGATACTGAGCTTAGGATCTTGGAATAGCAAAAATTTAGCCCTCATTTAGATGTATATATAAAGAGAAAAGGATCCTCAAATGCATAGACATAATAACAAATAGTCTGCCATTGTATCTGCACACAAAGATTCCACTAGGTTAGGCAAAATTATGGATGAAGATTGATCATTCCTAATAGCATCATTAAATGAACTCGATGAATATTGTCCATAAAGCCAGATTAAAAGGAAAAGAAATGATATTAAGCATGGATCAATAAGTATTATACTCTCAAATATCTGAGCTTGCAACTACAGCAATTTCAATCATTTGTTATTTTTGCTTAATTTCAAAACATTCAAATAGAGAAGAAAAAAAAAATTGACATCAACAAAATATTTCAAGTTTGATTGGACATGCACATTGGACATGCACAAAATTGTAAACAAAAGGTTGCTGAAGTTTCGCCGATAGGCCTGCTAAAATAGATCTACTGCTTTATCCAGATGATCCAGTTGAGTTCCTAGTAAACAGACTTTACTTCACTATTGTCTCATGCAATTCTCCACTAACAATTTGTTCAATTATCAACTGTTCAAGTATGATATATTATTATGCAAGGTCATTCTCCTAACTATTATTATAAAAGAAGAGTATAATCAACTACATGGAGCATACCCAACTTGATAATCTGAGATGCAAAAGTTTGAAACACCTGGAAAAGTGGTCATCTTGGTTGATGGGCATTAGATAAATAATAATTAAAGCCATCCTGCCCCTCAAAAAGTCTATACACAAACCATCCATATGAGTCCTAGAATTGTCAGTTCCAAGTTCTTTAAGATCTAGCCTGCATTTTCTAACATGCTGGTAGATTTTCATATTTGCCCTACCTTACGAAACTTCTTTATAATTACTGAGTCCTGTAGTCATGGCCAGAAAAACCCGGATATCGACATATTAAAAATTGTGTAAATGTGTGTTCAGTACAAAGACTGTTGATGTAATTTATCAAAGTCTGCACATCTTCACTAATGTCTAGAAATCATGTTATACCTAATTTTCTTATGATACAAGAGAGAATACTATTTTCCATCCAACTATAAGAGGTAGGAGCCAACCACTCACATAACGGAGTTACCATTCTAAAATAATCTTCAAGATTTCTCGCCTAGAAGAACACCAACACTACTCCTATACTATACTCAACGCTTCACTACCCTCTAGATAAAAAACAATTCCATCAAAGACATTGTATCTTCTCCCCTTCTTGTTACATGTGTTATCCATAGATCCAAAAGGAGTATCATCTGATGCAATGAGATGGAGATTCCTTTCAAATAGTCATAGAGCTAAGCAATAACAAGTAACTGGACAAAAGGTGGTTCAAGCACCATGTCACACACATGACGAGCATTTCCCCAATAACTGGAAGTATTCATTATTTCTCTCACTACGAATCACATGCACCCTGTCAAAATAGAGGATGCAAACTCATCAGAAAGAAGAAAAAAGAGGGTACAAAGAATTTCTAAAAAAAAAAAAAGCGGGTACAAAGTTCAAGTTATGACTTCGAAAAATTGGAATTCACACACTTTTCAAGCTTCCTTTTCCTTCGAAGGCCACATCCCCTAGGGTTATACTGGCTAACTTACCAAAATTGTAAGCCTGGACAAGAGAAGAAAAGGAAAATCCATGATTTTTTGTTTTTTAATAATAAAAAAAGGAAACCTGTAAATTGAAATGATAAATGTACTAATCAAAGAAGAAATAAAATGGTCAAGTTCAAACTCATTCATCTCCTCAATGTGGGTCAATGGGCCTATATATATTCAAACTGGAGCGAGTTCGCCATTAGAGACTCTGAAACTTGCTCACCTCACAACAAAAACGAATGGTGCTCATCAAAATCCCTTAAAATTGATAACCATCATACCTTCACAACCCAAGCTACAAATGATTCCATTTGAATGTGTACATCGTATATAACTTTCTACAAAACCAAAATAACCACTAATGGGAAAATTTACAAACAATTAGCCTACAGTGCAAATGTATCAGAAAAATTCAACCAAAGTATCTCAAAAACCTGAAATTTGAGAAAAGAATAAAAGAAACCATGATCGCCCAATTCAAGCTAAATGCATATAGATGCAAAGTAAAGGCCAGGTGGGTACCTGATGGATCAACGCCTAGAGTGAGAATAAGGCTTGCGCCCAGATTAAACTGAGAGAGAATAGAAAAAGGTGAAATATGAATAAGAGAGAGAGAGAGAGAAGAGGAGAGAGAGAGTCTCAGATCCCTGAGAAAAGGGCCGGAAATGAGAGAAGGAACCGCTCAGCTATATAGTTACCGCAAAATACTCTTGTCTCTCTCTAATATCTATAAAAAAAATAGTAGGCGCGTTTTCGCTGTTAAGTGGGATGGACGGTCGTGATTAATCGCACATATTAATTAGTCGTTTTAATTTTTTTGTGGGGCTAAAAATACTCTAACATCTTATAACCGTAAATTATACACAGGAAAAAGTTTATACAAGGGTAACGCCCTAAACAACCTCACCTCAAAAATTCACTAAAAGACTTTGTTTTGATGCTGAAAAACTGTCAATTCGATTATTTCCCGTTCAAGATGCATGGACATGAGAAAAACAAATTTCAAGTTTTAGAAATTGTGGATCTTGTAATGTGTGATCTAAACCATCAATTTTTAAAATTTTTTTAATTGTTTATAGTTTTACTCTATTTATATTGATTTTTTAATATTTAAATTATATAATTAGAGATGAAGACAAATTTTTTAAACCATCACAAAGATTTTTGATACTGAAACAATATATTTGGCCACCATTTGAAAGTGTGCCTTACTTTGATTACCATTTGAAGGTGTGCCTTCCTTCGATTATCTAGGGCCTCAAGCCTTATACAAACCACACCATCCAATGCTGCGGCTTACTGATATGATGCTCCCACGGGACCGTATTGCACATTTACTCCTCCACGCAAAAGACCTACCTGGGAGGATTTTTTTGGATCTAAAATTTTTCATAACCACCTAAGAATTAAGAGATGATTATTTTTAAAGGAAACAAATTTTTGTATTTTGAGTTTTTTTGATACTTAGATCTTGCCCCTTAAAAATTGGATACTCTTTGTTTAATCTTGAGACATTATTTTTTCTAACACATAGAGATGTCAATTCCCATTATTTAGTTTTGTTTAGTGAGGTTACTCTGTGGGATATGGGTTGAAAAGGTTACATCCCCTAGTCCTTAAATTACTCCTATATACTCCGGTGAGAGTATAAAACCTTTTACCATAAAATACGTTGGCTCACCTGGGATGATTACTAAGGCCACCCTTTGTTAGGAATGGATGGTGGATGCCTGTGGCATCTTGCACAGGTAAAATAGTGGTGTACCATTTTGTGCTGAATTTTTGGAAATTTCAGGATTTTTCCATATTTCATAACAAGTCGATTTAAATTAGTGCATCGATTATTATAGCAAAATTTACTCAATTTTGTGTGCGAAATTATGGAACCAACAATTTCCTCTAGTAAAATTGTGAGTGAAATAACCTTTAACTACAACAGTTTAATTGGCAAAATTTTAGCTCACCTCATTAAATATCTTTATCAAAAGTTTCTCTCTTTTACTTTTCGTAAGGGGAACGAAAGGTATTGAATAGTTGATTAGCTTCCTCCATCAAGAAGATAAGTCTTTTTTTTTTTTTATGTCAGATATGCCATAGTTCAGAGAGAGAGAGAGAGAGAGAGATAAGGTGCTAGAACTTTAGCTTTTGTGTCCAAAGTTCAAAGAGAAATAGAGAAGGTGGCTAAAACCTCAGCTTTTCAGAGAGAGAGAGAGAGAGAGAGAGAGAGAGAGAGAGAGAGAGAGAGAGAGAGAGAGAGGAAGCCCAACTGTGGTGCATGGAGATAGACAGCGAGAGAGAGTGATAGAGACGGGGAAGCCCAACTATGGTGTATGGTGTTCTAAAACTATATCCATCATATGTATCCACATGACGGATGGTTGGATATCAATTATGGGACTATGGGTGTAAATTTGCATAGTATGAAACTAGGATATTTATCTTTTACACAATTTTATGAATGAAAAGAATTATTTCGCCATTACAATAAACTTAGAAGCTGCCTTTTTCCATAAGAGAGAGGGAAAAACTGTTAGGGTATTAAGTGTGCATCTGCATCATGGAGGCGTGTGCCTCTAATATTGTATTCAGGAACCATACTATACATCAGTGCATATCATAAATCGCATACCATGTTATTACCCATCCTAGGATCTGACGACGAACGGTGAAGATTTAAGGGCATTTCCTTCTTCAGGAACTACAGTATATCGATGCTCCACATGGTGGTCCACGTACCATCTATCACTTATGGATAGTATATATACACTGCATTTATATTGTATAATACCACAGTATGGTGTGTATATATATATATATATATATATATATATATATATATATA